AACTTTGCGGTGAAGTACTCCTTATAGATGTCGTTGACGGTAGTGAAATCATCGATATTTGCCAGAAGAACGGTTGTTTTTACCACTAAACAAACAAATATCAGAGATTGGGAAGTTTCCGCTTTTCATGCCTACCGTTGCCATAGCCAACCCCGGCAGCCTTCAAAATTTCTCCGATGTTCTTTAAAGACTGGTGCGTTTGCTCTTTTATGCCTGCCTTCAGCTCACCACTCTTGGGATCTAATCCTAATGAGCCACTGATGTAGATGGTATTGTCAACGCGAACTGCTTGGCTGAAAATAATCGGTAATCATTAGATTACATCACGTTTTGAAAATCCAAATGAATTTTTGGCATCTTCAGCATTAACGTGAAGAAAAAAGTGTTGGACTGCAATGTTGTCGTAAAAAGGAGTAATGCCAATTCGATCAAACTGGTCTTGATCTAAGAACATGGCAAGAAAATTCAATTCTAAAAAGTTTATCAAAAGATTAAAAAAGATTAAGGTAGTACAATTCAAATCGCAGAGATTTTCCTTGCAGGTCTCGTTCAAGCACACTGTTTTTATGCTGCTGTTTTGGACCCCTTCTTTGCTCATAAAAGGTGATTTTCGAATTAAGAGCGTTCAGGACTAGCATTTTTTAGCAGATACATATCTCAACATCACTCCGACTTTCCACTCTTTCTAGTCTGTAGCTGATTTCAGATTAATTGTTATGGATTGTATTCTTAAAAAATTCAATGATTATAGACTTAAGAAGGAACATTAGATTGTGAAAAAAGAAAAAAAGGGTGAATAGTAAATGGACCAAGAGTCTTGTACAAGTAATAAAGCACGGTTACTTAAAATGAAAATCTGAAAAAAATTTTGGGACGTTAAATATCTCGTTGTTCAGAACTTTTCCCATGAAAAAAAAAGAGTGGTTGACAAAGTAAATTACAGTAGATAAGTTTACGATACCTATATGGACCAACAGCTGCGGGTGCAGTAGCTGTATGGATGATTTGTCTGGTGACTTGAGCCATCTTCTCTACCGAGCGCTTCCTGAAAACAAATAATTCAACAAAAAATCAAGAAATGCAGTGTATTCCTAAACGCCCTTAATGTTGAAAATTACTAGTGTTAAAACTATTGCCCTGCTTCTGCCTCAACGGTTCTCAACTG